ATACAGAATTGGAAAAAAAAAAGAAAGATTTTAAAATTCGAATTGAAATTATTTCTATAAAAAAAATAATTCGATGAAAGTCTAATACTCTTTAAAGACTTTTTTAAATTGATATCATTAATTGGATTTTTATATTATAAGTATATTTTATATCATAAATATAAGTATATTATAAATTATATATAAGTAGGAAGTTTAGTCACGTGACTTTTTATTGCGGAAAAAAACACGTTGTTTGTTTTTGAAAAACTTCGTCCAAAAAATGCAAAAAATGATTGTAGATACCTACCTACAATCGATTGTATTGTACAATGATTGTAGGTGCCTACCTCTTTCTTCGATACCTATCGAAGAAAGAAAACCCACCCATGAAAATTACAAATTAAAAAAAAGAAACTAACTTCACATGAAAGTAGGTTCTGCAACTATTTATTAATAATGTATATGTATAATTAAAATTTTTCTCATGGTTAATTAGGGTGGGTTTTTTGTTTCCTAACTGGTGATTTGTAGAATTTCTCCCATTTTACTAACATTAGTAAGTGCAGTCAAAAGGTAGCGATTTACAATAAAATACAAATAAATAAATACAAATAAAAACCATTAACGTGCACATTTTTTTTCCACATAAAGAAATAGTCTAACGCATTAGACTATTTTTTTCTGTCGAAAAAAAATGTGCACGTTAATGGTTTTTATTTGCATAAAAATATAGATATAGAATAATTAGACTAATATATTTAGCTTTAACTGTTGTATATGTTTTTTTTTATTAACTACATTTAAAAGAAGATATACTGAATTTTTTTATCTTCAGTTTTTTAGTAGGTTTACTTACTGATAAGTAATTATTATTATTACTATTATTATTATTATTATTATTATTGTTATATTTATTCTTATAATATTATTGTATAATTTAAAAAGAAAATGCAAATATATTGTTGTTGTTGTTATCAGTGCCGGTTTAACCAATTGACATACTGGACACGTTACGGTAGCCAACGGAGTTCAAGAAGCCAAGAATGTGAATTTTTGAGAGATAATTTGAAATAAAAATTATTACCGGCCTCTATCCTTAAATATCTCTCATGTCCTAAAGATTTTTAATTTTTGCATTAAATGCGCGTACAACGTATCGCAAACTGAACGTTTTATTTTTTTAACGGTTTGAAAGACTTCCGAGTTCGAACATAATGGTGAAAAAAGAAACTTAAGGTAATTCGATATCTTATTTATTATTTATTCTCAGAGGATTATCATTCCGCGGATCTGACGAAAAACAAGGATACATGCAAAACTTTATTGGATGTATTGAGCTATTAGTAAAATTTGATCCTTTCCTCGCCCAATACTTGATAACTAATGGAAAAAAACAAAAGCATTGTACCTCGTACTTATCTAAAGACACATGCGAAGAACTTTTACACTTAATAGCCACCGAGGTTATGGAATTTTTAGGTAATATGTTCATCTTTATATAACACGTTGTTTTTATTTACTTCAAACATAATTTCTTAGTTAGCGAAAACAAATTTGCAAAATTTTTCTTAAACATCATTGATTCTACTCAACGATGTATTGATTCTACTCAATGAAGCACTGGTTTTCTGTTTTGTACACATCGTTGATGTGTACAAAACGAAACCAGTTGAGCGGTTCTTTGCATTCATTCCCAGGCATAACAATTTTGTAGTTTCCATGATTAAAATTGTTTTAAAAAAGTTAGATTAGAACCATACGACAATGCCGGTTATATGTATGGAATCTACTATGCTTTACAAACAAGAAATAAAAAAATCAACGTTCTCGCCGAATTTATTCCATGCGCTGCTTACTATTTGAACCTCGTAGGAGTTAGTGCCGCAAAATCCAACGGAGCTGCTGTTAATTTCTTTAGATTTTTTCAATAAACTTATAACTTCTTTTCTGCATCAACACATCAATTTCTTAAAGTCAAAAACCTTTGCATTAACTCATCAACTCATCTTAAAGTCTAAGTTACTTGCTGGAGTACGTGTTAAGGTTCCTTAGACTCTCTCCCAAACTCGTTAGTTAGTTTGTGCTGATACTTGTTTAGCCATTAAAAAGGTTTGCTTTATTTACAAAGTGATTAAGAATTATTTCGAAAATAAAAACCTTTTTTTTTTGTGATTGATTTAACAAATATTTTCTATATAGGCTCTTCTTGATCTTAACAACAAACTGAAAGCAAAACCAAGTGCAGAGGCTTTCGGACTTTCAACCGAAATGAAACAAACTGATAAAGATATTTTAATAACCATTTGGAACAGAGTCATGGAAAAGTTCAACAAAGTTAACAAAAAACTGCTGTTCGTAAATCTTGATTTAGGTATCGTTGAAGAACTGTACATCTCCCTGGAGCATACGTGCAGCAAGTTTGCTTCAATTTCGAGCTATATGAATAGGAAGCCGTGTCTTTTTGGTCAACACGGATTAATATGTCTATGTTCAAAGGCTTCCAAAAGCACGCAAGAGA